TCAGCTTTCTACCTTAGTTCAAGAATAACATCCACAGCACTATGCTTTCAGGCTAATGCTAGAGACGTGTGTAGTCCATGACACACTTTAAGAGTCTTTCAGTTCCTAAATTTGCCTGTTACACCTGTATGTATTTTTTTTACCTTATAACATCAAAAAGCACGATTGTTCCTGTGTATCAGGCTGCTTCTTGGGAGCTTGCCTCCAAATTTTACACAGGACTTTGATCTCCTAATCCAAAATCCTCCCAGCAATTTAGCACTTAATAATAGGCAATCAAGTCATTTCTGGTGTATTACAGAAGAATGCAAGAAATCCAGTAGCATCTATGGACTGTTTGTTATCTGGAATTGTTCAACTGAAATGGCACTGTTTCACACCAATTTTCACTGAGGATACAATGGAATATTCACAGGTCCATCAACTTTTGACAGCACTTTTTTTTGGCACTGAACTAATCAACCGATACAGAACTTGTTGATGGAAAGTGCCTGGAGCGTCTAAACCTTTGTAGAGGAACCCAAAAACTACAATTAGGTATCTACAGTCTGTTCTGTAGCTCACATTTATTGCCAAACCCTGTAAAATAACTCCCTTTTTTATAGAGTACTCTTTATAAAGCAAATAGAGTGGTTAAGTCAGGACAAAAGCTCTGGGGACTGATATTTGAACACCATCTACAGAAAACACTTCTAGCAACTTCACTCTGAAATGTGTGCTTTTCAAGAGGCCAGTGAGATTTTCTACCTTTTAAGTATTACATGAGAAATAAAAATAATTAGCTAATATGTTTAGTTGAGGAAACATGTTTTGTTCTTATATTACCAGGTTGTAAAATTTGTTAGCCCCAACTGAGGTTAAAATTGCACATGACTTAGAAAGAAAAATTATTTTAAAAGTATTTTCAAATGAAAATACATCACCTGATACATTATTAGATGAATATTAAAGAACATAGAAAGATGAAGCAGTCTTTAAATTTGTAAAGGTTATCCCTTTCTTGTATCTGGCAAAAATTAGCAAACAAAACATTATAGAACACCTACTGTATAACAAAAAAGTATCAGTGAATAAAGAAGGAAATGTTAATGATGTGAATTGTCAGTAATGAGGACACAAATTCAAACACCAACTCCCTACTTTCCACATTTAAAGTTTGTACCTGTGAAGAAAATTTATGGTATTGGTTGAATTCCAAACCCAAACTGTACAAACAGAGTTAGTTTAGCAAAGGTATAAGTACATGTATGATCAGACAAAAAGATCTATTACGTGACTGTTTTATGTTATGTTCTTTTAATTACTTTAGTTACAAACTTCAGTTTTAATTTCATAAGCCTCAGAATACATTTCACTTTGGTGAATTCTCCTCCCCCTCAGTTATTAACTATCTAACCGTGACTAATGAAAAAAAAAAGTCAAAGTGCATATTGGTTTTATCAGCATTGATACAAAATTAATTCATTAATCATCAGTTATATTTAAATTGGTTATGTATTTTATAATTATGAAAAAGCAAGTAATCCAGATCAAGCTTTCATTTTCAGAATTTTACATGCTTTCCTCAACACAGTAACATACATATGTGACTCCATTTCTTTCGGTGATAAAAACTCCTCACAAATTATTCAGATTTTTTTCTTTTATTTATTTTGAATATTTGGAAAAGTTTATGACAGTTAAATTAAATAAAATTAAGAAATATGTGACAGAGAAGTTTGTAACAACTGGTGTTAATGCTATGTAAGTATACAACAGTAATAGTAGCTCCCAACACCATATTTAAGACTATTAAGTGATATCATTTTGATGGAGAAAAATGCAAAAAAATGTAACATTTTGTTGATTACAGTATCTTATTTTATTTATTTTTTTTTTTACAATATATTTCATTATTTTTCCTTTTAAATTGACCATCCACCAAACATGTTTAAGATTTCACAGACTAGCTTCTGTTACAGCTATTAATAATGAGACAGTATGAAAAGAATTTTCTTTTAAACAAAGATATTTTATTACAAGTATTTTGATGCATATTCCCCATGTCAATATCTAGCAATACCCAAGGCCAGGCATAATAATGAAGAAGCTACTGAAGGAGCTGGGGATCTGCAAGTTCTTAGGCTAAGTGTAACAGAAAACATTTAAGATTGTACTGTAGGAATCAGAAGGGATTGAATGTGTATTTAACCTTAGGACTTCTCTTTTCCTAACTCTTAAAATATGCAAGTTAGAAAAAGATATCCATGAGGGTGTGGTTTCATCTTACTGAATTCTAGGAACTTAGGATCATTTTAGCCTATACTCCTCCCATGGCAGAAAGAGTGAGGCTCCTTCAGGAGGGGGCTGGGCCCACCAAAGATGGGCAGGTCTCCAGCACTCAAGAACCCGAGCCTTGCAGATGTGCAGCGCAGGGCCAAGCTGTATCTCCCTTTGCACATATGCAGTGATACTTTGCACTGGGAGCCCTGGCACATGAAGCGTGTATTGGTGCTGCACCACCACCAGGCCAGCATCCCTCTGTAGAACTTGGGTAAGAGCATGCAAAGAGGACAGAGCCAGTCTCTTCTCAGTGGTACCCAGTGATGAGACAATAGGCAAAGGGCACAAACTTGAACACAGGAGGTTTGCTGAATGCTGGCACAGGTTGTGGAGTGTTCCTCCTTGGAGATCTTCAAAAGTAGCCTGTGCGTGGCCTTGCATAACCTGCTCTAGGTGCCCCTGCTTGAACACGAGGGTTGGACCACATAAACTCCAGAGGTCCCTGCCAACCTTAGCCATGCTATGATTCTGTTACCTCATACCTGAAAGAGCTTTACATGAAGGCAGTTTCCTGAGAGCCAGATGTAATGATTTGTCCCAGGTCCAGAGAGGAACTGTCCACCATATGACCCCCCTAGACATCCACAGTTCAGTGGCTATCTCTCAGTCCTTGATTTGACATATTGTTTCCCTGAAAGCGAGCAGTGAAGTCTGTATATTCAATGTTCGAAGTATGGCAGGATTCCCTGTCATACCATACACATCACTGTATGGTAACACTCCTTTATTTTCCTTTTTTCAGGAAATTGCTTTAACACTGAGTTAAAACCTGCTCTTGCAGAGAAACCTAGTCTGACTTGCCCTGCTACAACCCAGTAGTTTCTGTGCCTCCAGGAACTCAGTGGGAGTTGCTGACTCCACAGAGCTGATCAGTGGTATTTTGCTTCACACAACACAGCAGTTCATACCTCCTACTGACTTTGGAATTATGCTACTACTTTTTTTCCATGCTTGAATGTAGCTGTAGTTTGCTCTGTACTCACAGAGCAACTATAGCAGATATATGACTAACGTGATACTAAAACACTAAACTAAAATTAAACTTCATGCAGAAAAACTGTTATTTTTTGCCATTATGGAGATGAGCATACTGGTTTGCATTTTTTTAAGTGTTTTTTAAAGACTTACATGGTATACTTTAAAAATACTGGATTGTTCTGAGATCCTCGCCAGTTTATAAAATTTATGAATAGGCCATCAATACTTTTATTACCTTTGGTACTGTGAAACAAAACAAAACAAAACAAAACAAAACAAAACAACAAAAAAAGAGGAAGCACTGTATTTTCTGTTGGTTTAAGTTAAAAGATTTACATATGAAGTAAAAAGCTTCTCTTCCCTTCTGTTTCTCCAGCATTATATTTAACATTTTTTCTTCTGTGTTTTCAGCAGGTCTCTTGCACTCATATAAAAGCATTAAGTTATGCAGCCCTATTTTAACTTTGTAAGTGCCCTCACTTACAACTTCCAGACACAAACAATTTATGTTGGATAAAACTAATTATGACATGCTATCATTGGACAAAATCTAAGGAAAATATGGCTGTTTTCGAAGAGCCAACAACGACTTTTCAACATTGTGAGTGCATTTTTTTTTAATTTTTTTTTTTTGTGGGAAATAGTAGAATAGCCTCATACACATTCAGCTCCTCATTATAAATTACAAAAGTGAAAAAGAATGTGTGACGGTGGAAAGTTTGTATCCCACACAATTTCAGCAAACCAAAAAAATGTCTTGCTTGGAGATTTACTGCTGAGTGCGTGAAAGAATAAACACACTTATTGAAGAAAGCAAAAAAGCATTCTGATGATTAATAGGGTTCACAGAAGAGAAACATGTATCCTTTTACTCAAAAGGTCATTAACTACATTCAGATGTGTTTTATAAGAATAAATACTGTATTTATGACGCAAATTTCAGTATAGTTTGAGAGCGGGTTATCTGATAAAAGAAACATATTTTCTGTCTTTGTAATTGAAACAAAAATAAATTTCAAATGGAGTATGACCCCGTGGTTGTAAGCTAAACTTTTGTCACATGAAAGTAAAAAGGCAAGATGAATATTTCATGAATCTTGTTTTCCTTGTGAAGATACTAAGAAATCGGGTATCAAGGAGTGGCGATTTCATATTAAAATTTACCATCTCCATTCTAATTAGAAATAGATGAGGTAGGTTGAAAAAATCTGACTTCTAAACTTTACTCTGTCTTCCTCCTTGTTCCTGTTAGCCTGAAATCAAGTATTTAAGCAGTGATTCACTCAAGACACAGCCTCAGCTCCTTGACTTTTCACTGTGCTTTCCAAGCCAGCACAGCAGACCACACAACCAAAGCCAGCAGCGCACCAGGATGATGTGTGGAGTGATCCCCTGGCATCTGGACAAACCCACACAAAGGCTGCTGGAGGTAAGCTTTATTATTACTTTTTTGTGTGTGTTAAAAGTGCACTGGATCCAGTGAAATCACTGATGGGAGGCAGTGATACGGCTTGGGCTTCATGTGGTTGGGCTGCCACTCTCCCCCAGGTTGTGGTCCTTCTCTTGGGGTTCTGCATAACATCTCCACAGGAGATCTTGGAAGCACTCATAAAGCGTGGTGGAAAGGCGGGCTGGTAGCCGGTACCCCGTGAGGTGGTGACTGAAGACGAGCACACGGCCGCCACTCCCTGAGGCAGCACCGGCCTCAGTCAGCCCTCGCAGCCCGGCCTCCATGCGACCACCCCGAGGCGCTGACGCCCCCTCCCCTCCGCACCCCACGCATGCTCCCGAGGAAGATTGGGCTCCCGGCGGCCCGTAGCTTCCCCGGCAACCGGCAGGAAGCGCGGAGCGGAGCGGGGGAAGCGGGGCTGTCCTCCCGGCACGCCGGGGCCGGCAGCGCTGGGTCGGGCCCCGCCGGGCCCTCTCGGGAAGGAGGAGGGAGGGAAGAAGGAAGCGGGGGATCGTCGTTGCCCGCCGGCAGAGGGTGGCTGTTTGAGTCCCTTAGCGGTTACGGGGCTCGGGTCCCCCTCGTCTCTCTCGTTCTCTGTCCCAGCAGCGCTCCGGGAGGGTTGTCGCTGGGCAGGGTAAGTGAGCAGCGTGGCCTTTGAAGTCCTGCTTGCTGTCGTTCTGCCTCTGATCAGAGGCTTCAGGAGCCAAGCCCAGGCTCCTTCCTTTCTGCAGTGAAAGGCACCTTTCAGGTGTGCTCTTTCTTCTTGTCTGTATGTTTCTGTCCTTTGCTTGAAGTCTGTCACCTGCTGGCGGGACGGTTCGCATCCACATCAAGCCTGGTGTGTCGCTTGTTTGATTCCCAGCTGTGCCCGTGCTGCCTCAGCTCTGTACGTGCCTGTGCCTCTTCCAGCTCTTGACTGCACAAGGGCTTTCATCTTGTTCGGGGGCCGAGGCCTCCCTATGGGAAGTTCTTTTTCCACTCCCTTCCACCTCCCCCTGTAGCAGTTGTGCTTTTACAAAACCTTTATCACCATCTGTACCCTCCATCTTAACTTTTGTCCCAAAGGGCTGATCTGCCTGTTGCCATGTATTATTTATTCATTTATTTAACTTTCTGTGATGGTGTGAACAGTGGCTTTTGAAGTGCATCTAGATTTTGATGTTAGTTAAAACGCTGTTAAAGTCCTTGATGTGTATCTTTACTTACTTACTGGAAGAGAGAAAAAAAAAAAAAAAAAGAATACTTCCAAGTTAATTCTAAATACTTTTCTGAGAAATACAGAAATACGTTTGTATTATTATTAAGACGATTGCATTATGAGCAAGTGTACATTTCAAAAGTTGACACTGATAGCACTGTTTTGTGATACATAATACTAACGCTAAGAACTTTTTATTTAGTGTTTTTGTAGTATTAAAATATGTTGATTCCAATTTTTCTGATAGTTCTTACTATGTGTGTTCTGAAATGATTAGAGTTTTGTGGTAATAAGGTTACACTTAAAAATTAGTAAATTTTCTTTCTCAGTTATGGTCAGTCTTCTAGGGCTTCAGGATTAATGGCTTTAACGATTTTCATTTTACAAGTATAATAGTTTCTGTGTCATGTATGTTTTTGTGTGTTCTAAAGAAACTTTTAGTTGTTTAATTGTGGTACATTAGCTTGTCTTTTAAATAGATTGTCACTGAAGGCAGGCTGTATCTTGAAAATGTAAAGGAGAACAGTGCAAGATTATGAGATGTATGCACTTGAAAGATGAAGTGACAGACTTCTCCGTCTAAGTGATCCCTTATACTGCACAGGTTGTGGAAGAATAAGCGTTTCTTTTGTCGTACACTTATTTAGATTTTCTTCTCTGTTTGTTAACATCAGTCTTCAGACGTCAGGATTCTAACCTTTGATATTCTGTCTTACAGGAATGGGAACTCATATTTTTAATCTTTTTTGGTTATAGGTAGTAATGTTCTAAGAATGTCATCAGGCGTCCAAATAAAACCAAAGACTGCAGTACAGAAAAGCAAGACATCCTCTCCTTTGCCATGTTCTCCAGAACCTGCAACTAAACCACAGCCAAAGCCTAGTGACAAGCTGAATCCCAAAACTATTGATCCGGTATGTATAGGTATGGGACTTCTATTTGTTTAAAATAGTTCTCTTGATGGAAGAAATTTCCATGCTTCAGGAAATACATGCAGAAGATGATACTTTCATATGGGAATTTCTATGTGTGATTTTTTTTTCTTGAAACCTTTTGTAATTAATACAATCAATTAAGCTAAGAAGTCAAATCATGCACACAATTTTAACTATCTTAATGTAGGCGCAAACACTAGAAAGATAGAAATAAAGATGTCATAGTATTTCCTGCTATATGCTTAGTGATATGATATTTAATCTTGAAAGTAGTATTGAATGATCATGTCAGTAAATGATACCATAGCTGACATGGATAAGAAGCGTGCATATAAAATAACTTTGTGCAAGTTTTCCTGCCATGAAGCTCCCTACTGATTTCCAGTGCACTTTCCAGTGCATCTTGCCCAACATTTGGTGTTTCTCTATCATCTTGCCACCTTGTACTTTTGTCTGTACTCAGATCAGTCTGGAATTGGAGCAAAGCCACCTTCTGCATGTTACCTGCATATAATTTTTTACATCCTTATTGCATATGGCAATAAGGGTCATTAGTGAGAGGTACTTAGTCTGTTAAGAGAGAACCCATAAGACTTCGATGTTAAGATTTACATGACAAAGTAGAAAAATGAGAGCATTCCACCAGGAATGTATTCATTTTTGCAACCTCCTAGCCTGACAATTCTGAAAAGGACTTTTTTGATAAATTGTATGTGCTAAATCCTAAGATCTTTCTTTTTTTGATTATTTTTAGAATCATGTGATTAAGTTCCGTTCTTGATAAACTGCATTTTTAACATATTCAAACATTACCGTTATAACCAAATAATTTTTGGTTGTTGGTGTCCTCACAGTTTGGTACTCCTTCTAGAACACCTTCTGCATTTGCCGCTATATATGCTAAAGGTGGCATTCCGTGCAGGTATGTTAGTTTTGTTTCTTTTCTTTCTTATATGTATTATGGTTAGGTAGAATTATGCAAGTTGAAAAACATTTGTTCAAAACTCCGTGCTCTTTTAGTTAAGCAGTTTGATTCCATTCATTTCAGAAGAGATTTCTAGTACTTAGCTCTTTTCAAAGAAAGAAGCAATTTTACATGTTTGATATGGCTTTTTTTTTTTTTTGTAAAGTATTAAACCTTTTTTGCAAACAAATGAAATTTCTTCATATGTTTTCTCCTCCCTAATAACAACAATAATAAAATCAGTGCCATTTTAGTAAGCAGGTATCTTGCAGTCTTTTTTTGTCTGTAGTAAGTACTATGAAATAAATTGTGTATCGTTGTGTGTTAATTTGTTCAAACTTTACTTCTTTATATAGGTTAGTGCATGGCTCAGTAAAACACAGACTGAAATGGGAATGCCTTCCTGAAACTGTTCCTTTTGATCCTCTTCTTGTAACACTGGCAGAGGTAAACTCTTGCATAGTTAAGCATACAGTATTTCTTTCACATAGTGCTGAAACGTTATGCAGATGTACAGTAGCTACGTTTTTATGTCAGCTACTGTGTTATTTAGTTGCTACTATAGCTGGACTGCTGTGGTTTGTGGTTTATTCATTGAAACAGGAGATAAATTAAAGTGTCTCTGAGCTATATGCTCCTAAAAGCTAAGTAATACCAGTCTGCTTTTTCAGGATTCAATTAAAATTGTTGTAGGAGGAGCTAAGGTGCAGCCGGTCTCCAGACCCACTTTCAAATATGAAGTTAAATAACAAATGAGAAGCAAACTCATCCCTTTCTGACCTGAGCATTTAGCTGGGATGTGGGAACCCTGTGGAAAAAAGTAGGATTTCAGTTCTTCCAAATACCTACAAAGAGTTTGTTTGTTCTTTTTTTTTTTTTTTTTATTTTTCTTTCCACAGAACAAACCTTTCACGTGTATTAATTACAGTCCGGGGTCCAAAAAAGTCCTCTAGGGATTGTGAAAACATAAACCTTTTATAGGTAAAAGACTGATCATATAGTCACCAAAAATGCATGGGGATGTGTTCACTGACTGGATTTGCCTGGGACTGAAAAGGTCTAAGCATTTTCAGAGTTCACAAAGAAGTATTGATTCTTTAGCTCATACCTTTTGGAAGCATTGGAGTCTACCATTCAGTAGTCAGTGTAGTTGAATTCCACAGCTCAATTTCAATCAAAAACTGTTGTTAGCCTTTGTGTGCCTCTGCAATGATCTTTATGCATTGAACTGTCATGGACTCTTTCTACTTCTTTGGAGGTCCTGACTGTGCCCAAACTGTGAAAAGAAGTGCCCACCTCCAAGCTAGTGTCAACTGATACCTACTGTAGATAATATAAAGAGTAACTTAAAACCAACTGTATTAGATTTTTCACTTACCTGTTTTCTGGTAACAGCCACCTGGTGGATTTCTTTGTGTTGTTTTTTTTTTTTTCACTGCAAATGAATAATTCACTGTTTATCTGATACTAAATGCAAAGGGTAAAAAAGCTTTGTCCAAATGAGATACTATATAAAGAAATGTGTTTATAAAACTTTTCTTTTATGAGGGATAAAAAGTAGTTTTTCCTTTCTGACTGCTGCGGTCTGTATATATTTGTCTCTACTTTGCTATATTCCGTAGTTTTTCTTATTATTCTAGGTCACTGGAGAATGCTATTTCTTCTTTTGACCTCATAATGCCATTTCTGAAATAGATGTGGTTTAGCTAGAGGTATATCCTTTTTCTTTGGAGGCATCTGAGTAAAGTGTTATGCATTTCAGTTATGCTGTTTTACAAATTGTTACACCTGAAGAGGAGGAAGGCTTTGATGTTAGCCTCTTTCAACACAAACACAATCATCCAAAACCCTGACATTAAAGACAAATACAAATACAAGCAACTTTTTAGATGTGAAAAACAGATGTGACTTTTCGTGAGAAACCAGAGAAGAAATGGAAATCACTACTGTTTATCTGCTTTTGCTTTAATCTTATGTAAAATATTTTCCTCTTTACATTCTAACAGCTTGTTGTAGATGCTTTACTGGACCAAGCAGTGAGGTCGTCTCTTCCAGGATGCTTTACCACACAGTTATATCATGCAGTTATACCACACAGAATCACAGAATCACAGAATGCCTCAGGTTGGAAGGGACCTCTAGACGTCATTTTGTCCAACCCTTCTTCTCAAGCAGGTCATCCTAGAGCAGCTTGCCCAGGGCCATGTCCAGGTGGTTTTTTGAAATTCTCCAAGGAGAGAGAGACTGCAAACTCTCTGGGCAAGCTATGCCTGTAACAACCTACACATTACAGAAGTGCTTTTAGATGTTCAGACAACCTCCTGTGTTCCAATGTGTGCCCATTGCCTCTTGTTGCTGCTACATTACTTTGTATGTGTGTGCTATGTACACTCCTTCATATTTAGCAATTTAAATCACTGGCCTTTTTGGAGCCCTGTGCTGGTTGAGAAGCTAGATTTTGTAACTAGACGTGAACTCCTGTAACAGATGAGTTACACTTTTACATTGAACTGTGTGTGTTTGCACTTGTAGACATACACTTTGCCAGTGACTGAGTCAATCAGACTTCATTAGAGGTGGAAAGTTCAGCAAAGGAATTATTAGGGGTCTAATGGCTTACTGACAACTACATAGAGGTATATTTAGTGCTTATTATGTGTTCCTGGTTAAACTACAAATTGGTACTTAGGACAAGGAAGGGAAATGTAGTTCTAAAATGCTGTTGTAACCAGTATGTCTTGCTCACATAGAGGTAAACATGAAGATTTCTTCCAAAGGTTGTCCATCAACTTCAGCCATCTGAATGTTATTTTTAAATAATCTTAATAGTGACCAGAAGTCTTCAGGGATTTCTTCCTGAGGTACCAGGGTACAAAAAGTACAAAGTACTTTGATGACCTAGAGCTTAATGAGTCAGTCTAGACAACAGGCTGTCATGAGGCCTCCCCTCAGGCTTCTCTACTCTGGGCTGAATAAGCCAGGCGACTTCAACCACTCCTAATGTGTCTTCCTCTTTAGACCCTTCACTATCTTTGTAGCCCTCCTTTCACAGAATCACAGAATTTCTAGGTTGGAAGAGACCTCAAGATCATCGAGTCCAACCTTTGACCTAACGCTAACAAGTCCTCCACTAAACCATATCACTGAGCTCTACATCTAAATGTCTTTGGACACACTCTGCTAGTTTTATGTCCTTCTTTGTCTTGTGGTGCCCCAAAATGCACACAGTGCTCTAGTTGAGGCCACACCAGCTAGCAGTGCTGTGTCTGATGTTCCCCGGTTGGCCTTCCTGGCAGTCAGGGCACACTGCTGGCTGATGTTCAACTCGCTGCCAACCAAATATGTTTCAGGAGTCTAAATAAATGTTGAATCCGGTCTGGGAGGTAGAATAAAGTGTATACTATAGAGTGAGCTTTTTTTTTTTTTTTTTTGAAAAATCAAACGTCAAATATCTAAAGTAGCTTACAGCTCCTATTGCTCATATTACCATATGGCTTTAAATCTTTGAATTCTGCTGCTCAGATCTTGGCTAGACATGCTTATTTGTACCATTTTAAAGTTTTTGCATTTGTGGGGGGTATTTTACTTTCTTTTTTTCTTTTTTTTTCCCTTCAGGGTACAGAAATTAGTTATAAGTGTGTATATATATATATATATGTATATATATATACACGTATATATATATATACATATATATATATATTTCAACTATATATATATATACATATATATATATAGTTGAAAAAATTCATTATCTTTAATCACTCTACCTAAAGAAGTACAAGTACTGATTGAAATAGCAATGTTCACAATGTGAGTCTTAATATTCAGTATTCCAAAAGAAAAATGAATCGGAATATTCTGTGAGCAGAGTTGTACTCAATGGATCCACACGGTGGAGTTAGTGTATCTTATGTTTTGAATTGATCTTTTATCTAAACATAATCTTTGTGCTAGATGGAACTTTTTAAAAGTGATTTTGTTTAAAGACTATTAAGAAAACGTTTTATATTTACAACAGGGTCTGAGAGAGACAAAGCATCCCTATACATTTGTTTCAAAGGAGGGTTTTAAAGAATTACTTATGGTTGAAGGTGCTGCTGAAAAAACAATTCCCTTGTTGCCTCGTCTAGTTCCAGTGTTAAAGGCTGCATTGGTATGTCTTACTCTTCCTACAGAGATTTTCATAATTTTTTTTTTCTTTTTAAGCTGGTGAGGACTACAAGGAAAACATTAATGTGATAAATCTGTTGGATAGGCTTTTATTTTGGGGTTCACAGGTGTAGGGGTATAGTGTCTTTTTCTCATGTTATCCATGCCTTGGTTCACTTAGATAAATGAGTCTTTAAGAGTATGATCAGATGAGCAACTCCTTGTATAGTTGAGTGATAGCAGCTATGGGCAAATTCTGTAGAAATGTTCTGTTAAAGATATGAATATAAGCAGAAAAAAATATAAGTAATCATGGTGTTTTTTATGTCCACATGCAAAACATATTTGATATGAAATAAAATGGAGATTCCAGAATAAATAATCACGTTACATTTAAAAATGTAAAAAAATGCTACAAAGATAAAATAGAATACATCCATGAGGAAAAAGGAAGAATATTATTATAATGTTTGAAGACATAATCTTCATTTTTAAAATGTTTGTAATTTTTTCAACTCCTTCAGAAAATAATGTGTTTTAAAAGTACTGGCCTGGAATACTCTTTTGGATCTTTTTAATTTCTTTCAGAACCCTTTTTTAGTTTGTCCATTTTCTGTCATTTATTCTAGCTATGCTTCAGTTCTATTTTTATAGAGATGGATAAACATTGAAAATTCTTTGAGATACAAACTCAGAGGTGTAATAGAGGATCAGTGTTGTTTATTATTAATATCTTTGGTTTATTTTGGAAGACATAATTAGAAAAATTATTATTGTGTGTTCTTCCAATGACTTATTTATCTGATAATTTTTATTGTTGCACTATTTAACGAGACAAGACTTTATATCAAAACCTACTGAGCAATGACTTCTTTCTTCTACTTAAACAAACAAACAAAAAAAACAAAAACAAAAAAACAAACACCAAAACATTCAGGGCCCAAATGTCAGAATAGAAAAATGACCCTTTAAATAAAGGTCACTATTAGTACAAGGAAAATGGTCATGAAACAATTTCTCTGCTCAGGGAAGAGTGAGATAACTAAAGCAGTAGAGAACTCGTATAGAAGAACTTTCCCATGGGAGCAATAGAAATGACAAAGCCACCTTAGAAGTAGATAACAGCGTGATAATTGCTGGCAGATGAAAAAGCTGTAGTTGGCAGGGGAGTAAATTCATTGAGCCAGAATGTCATTTGTTTGTGGGTTTCTCCAACAAAGACAATTGTTATGAATTACTTAGGAATTACCCTGTATTCAATACGTTTATAACCAAAATGTCCCTCAATTTTGATATATGCACATCTTAAAGTTTCTTTCTAACATGCTGTGAAGCAGTGCGTATAGGGTATGTTCCAAAACTGTCAATATAGTGCCTTTTTTGCCTGATGAATACATTTATTGATTTGTTCATCAATCAAATATTAGTTTCTTTTTTTTTTTTTTTTTTTTGGAGGAAGTGCAATAGTCTCATTGACATGGATGCTTTTGTTTTCTGCTTTAAAAATATTAATACTTCTGCATTAAAGGATTACATCTGGATAGTTATATTCAGTCATGTTGTATTTCTAAACTGCTTGTAACGTTACAAAATTAGCAGTTCCACAGCACTTTAAATTTATCAAAATACTATATACAATCATAATATAGAGATTGCAGTTTTGAAGAAACTGTGTTTGTTTGAATATTAGTCTGACAGGATTTTCCCCTTCCTTTGAAGGCCCATTCAGATGATGAAGTATTTGAAAGGGGATTGGATGCTTTAGTTCAACTGAGTGCTGTTGTTGGCCCATCTCTTAATGATCATCTTAAGCATCTGCTCACAAATGTAAGTTTTTAGTGCTGTAGTAACAGATCATCTGTATTTTTATGGTTAAGATGTTTATTATAATATCTGCACAGATATATTGGAAGACTCAGCAGTTTCATGAAAAGCATTGCTTTGTATATTCCTCTGTGTAAATCTGTTATTCTTTAATAATGTGGTGACATATAAAGTTCTAGCAGGCTCCAAAAACTGACGTTAAGGTAAATTGGAGAAAAATGGATTTGCTTTCTGTATTACTTAAAAAAGATCCAGCATTGAGCCTGAGGTGAAACATTCTATGTTTTGAAGGAATTTTTATATTTACTGGTAAATGAGTGTGAATGTTTTCAAAAATCTGTGAAAGCCTTGATAAATTAACATAGGGAAATATTTCTGCTTCTCTCAGATGGGAATTCTGCACAAGGAAGTTTTCATTCAATAAACTTGAGTTGAACTGTGGAAAGTAATTTTTATACTGAGTCCTCCTATTGATGTCCTTCTGTAGATTTTCTTCCTCTATTGAATAGGCTTTTCATGGTTTAATTTAACCTGCCTCCAAAGTGAATTTTTACAGCAAAATAAAATGACTTATTAGACACCCAGTGCAGAAGAGAGAATCTAAAGTAGCTTTTTTGTTTGTTTGCCTGTTTAGATTATTTCCACTATAATAAATCTCTTTCAGTGCACATGAAAAGTGTGTCAACTTTTCATGTGGACAATACTTCAAGATTGACTTTGCTTTAATATTGATACCTCTTTAAAACTTGCTTGCTAAAAACCAACAATTTAAAATTGTTTGGCTAACAGTTGAGCTTTAACTCTCTCATCAGTTAATACTTCACACCTTTTGCCTTGACTAACTTTTATACTTTGACATCAGCTACGAGCTATAAAGTGATGTTTCTTTCAGCTCTCACTTACCAAAGACAGATAAAATAAAGTAGTAAAATAGAATTATATTGGATTTTTTGCACATATAGTACTATATTGGGCAACAGACCTTTTTATTTTACTCTTTCAATAGCTTTCAAGAAGATTAATGGACAAGAAATTTAAAGAAAAAATTACTGTTGCTTTACAGAAGTTGGAGCAATATGGTGGAAAGGTGAGTTAAACAGATAATAATCTGTAATCTGCATGCATGAATGCAGCATCGCCAAGACGGCTTTCATCTCTGGCTTTCAGATTAATAACCCTTTTCTGAGTAATGCTTTGCATGTCACAACTATTCATATTGCATAAAACACTGGATTTTGCACTGTGGCAATTCCAGTCCATGCTAAAATAGTTGTTTTAGTTTGAGGTATTGAATGATGATAGAAATGACATTAAATCACTGTGTGATCCGTATTCTGCCAGCTAGCTTTTGTTGTCCTCCATTTTTTAACTTCCACTTTCATATGTTATTCATTGTTTCAACAATCTCAGAGCAGGAATGCAGGAGTACATTTCAGTAAAATATTCTAAGGGATCAATACCTATATCAGAAACTGTTTGGCTCTACTTCTATAGCACATCAATTCAAGAGAACTCTTTTTGGGAACAAGTGTTCATCCATGTGGATCCCTACTCATGATATTTGCTTGGAACATTTTATTGTCCTTGAGGGGAAGCTCATGCAGCCTTAGTGGCTAAATAAGATAATTTAAAAAAATATTATTGTTTTTTATTATTTTCTATTTCTCTATAAAGTTTGAAGTTTTTCCAGGGTTTAGAATGTGTGTGGAGTGGATTATGTACGGTAAGATTCAGGATGAAGTCTTTATTCCAAGTTAGGCACTGCAGCACTTAAAATGTAGATTTTCATGCTGAGTAAAGCATTTGGGCTACTTGTAAAGGCTGTAGGGTAGGGTAGATACCCATGAAGAGCGAGTGATTGAGGAATTCACCAAATGTTAACCTGTAAATAGATTTTGGTCCCTTCTGGAGTATTGACACCTGACACCACAGACTGAATATTTGCCTTGCTTCAGTACACTTGAGATGAAGGCTTTGTGTTCATTTTTCTGAGCTTAAGTGCTTTCCTCAGCAGCATTTACTCTTGCTGAAGGATAGTTTTTGCTGTTATTGATAATGCTTGCCCGTTCCTTAATAGCTTAGTGAGGTCACTTACTGAGGAAATCAGATACTAACATTCTAGCCCACCGTGGTTAACCCAGAGGTTAGATCTACAGTTGTTATACATCAAAAAAAAAAATGCATTAAGTAGTAGATGATAGGCTATTCTTCTGTGTTATAATTCTAATACAGTATAGTGCTCTAGTATTCTGTTGACATCTTCTGTCTTGCTGTACATTGTGCTGCAAGGACAAGAGCAGAAAAATTGAGTATTGGCTTGGACATCCATCTAGAATGGAAAGTACTTGCTCTAATGACCCCATGGGCACTTGAATGTAAGGTATTAATATGGTCACTGACAAAGAATTGGAATCACCTGAAGAGCAGGGACCAGTGTATATCTTACTGCTTCTGAACTTGTTTTCCATAGTCAGTAAGCACCCAAATTATCTGCAGGCACTGCTTCATTTTTTTTTTTTTTTGGGTGCTCATATTCATTTAATGGCAATAGGAATGTTTATCTTGCAGACTTCAAAACATCCTGACAAAGCAGCATGAAAATTGTTATTTGTGTGTAGTGGAATGAGAAGAAAATTACATTTCATTTTGGTGTCCTGATAATTTATGTCTAATGGAGCTAATCCAGTGAATAATCTTATGTCTGTCCGCTAATTTCTTGTAGTATGTTGGGTTTGTGAGTGGTCTTTCTGTATGTCCTTTAAAATTCTATCAGAAGATAAGGCAGAAAAGTGGAAACAAGCTCCTAAAACGTGATTATAGCCAGCAACATTATATAGTTCAACTAATGAATTAATACACTTATTTTTAAATGTTACAATGAATATGATTAGTACTTCTATTGGAAATCCCTTTGAGAATGTTTCCTTTTTTTTTGTCCATTATTTTCGGCTCTTTTGAAAGTAAATTTCTTGTAAGTATTAAATTTTAGTTTTGTACTGTTTCATTAGAAGAAGGTAACTAAGCAAAAGTTTTAAATTATACAATTTATAATTATTAAGTAAATCTTCTCCTATGTAGTGCTAGGTCTAATTGTTGTGTTTAAACTTATTGTATTTTCATCAACAGGCAACTGTGGCTATCATCAAATCTAAAATTCCAACCTATTGTTCTATATCCTCTTGAACAAAAAAAAATCTGTAGTGAGTTGTACTGTGAGGTCAAGTTTGAAGATTAACTGCCTGTGAGTGTCACCAACAATTCTTTGTGGTATGCTATGTTCTCTTAAACTAATCACAGTTCTTCAGTGTAATGGAAAGTGGGAAACATCCCATCAGTTTGTGAATATATAATTATGAGAGACTGTTTAAAATAATTCTCTATTGGCTGCTATTTATGTATGCATTATGCTTACAAGGACACTGACAAATTGGCTATTATTTCAAAGGCTGAGTAAATATAGATTCATATTTTGTTGTAAATTGCATTTTCCTTTAATAGATTTGCCTAGTACGTTATGTAGATTTGTATGATGCAAAACAATTTTGATGCAAAAAAAAATGAGAATTCACATAGTGCTAAATTACAATGCACTTTTGAAACATTTAACTTACTCTGTCCCAATGGATGCAGTTTGGGTTCATCAGGACTTAATGGATTAGACATAGAACTAAAAAAACTCACCTAGACTTTTTGAGCTTTTGAAGGTATGAAGCTTACCATACAGGAAGCAAGCTGTATTTTCTCATTGAGTACTCGGCATGTTGTTTTCAGAAGCTGGAACAGCATTGGTCCATGAGCGTACTTGAGCTTGATTGCAAACTATTGACCAACAGATCTTGAAATAAATACTGTTCAGGTTTGTTGTTCTGTGTTTGAGTCACCCTATGGGGGAGAACTGACTAAAGTGGTATTTAATTTAATTCAGAACTGTGGTTAAGTTCTGTGCAAAGTCAAGACATACATGTATATATATTTAAGCATTTTAAAATAACTTAATTTTGTTGGCAGAAATGTTAAATCTGAAGAAATACAGTTATTTAACAACACAAAAAATTGTTCATGCTGGTTTTTCTTTGTTTACTTTATTTATTTTATTTTTTTACAAAATGTGCACATTTAGTTTACACAAACACACTACAGCAAATTTCAGGTGTACATGTATTGTACTACTCTTATCCTACACTGGTGATAGCAGAGCAGCCTTCAACATGCCTCTAACATCCCATCTCTACACCAGAATAGATACCTGATTTATTTATTTATTTATTTTTGTGAAAGAACGTTTGCCACATTCTTTCTACTTCATTAATCCCATTTCACATTTTCTGCAGCAATGTCACAATGAAGATTGGCTTATCTCTGATAGCATTTTACCTATTTTGAAGTATTGGCATAAATCTCTGGACAACATATCTTAAAAATTACATGTATTGGAGGGGGCATACATTTTTAATCTAGATTCAGAATTAAGCTTGCTCCAGTCTTAATTAAAAAATTATCCTAAAAAAATGTAATGCACTTATCACATATAGATGATATTGTATAGCTGAAGCTTCATTTTTTTTCCTAATCCTTTCTCATAATTAAAGATATTACAAAAAAGCTTACACAGATGTTATCCTGTCTAGAATTCATTATTAATAGATGTCACTATGTAGTGATATTCAGTCTGTGCACTGAAGAGGAACAGAAGTTTCAAAGGAACGTTGTGGTTTTCTTCTTCATTAAAGGCAACAAGACACATACCCATGAACACAGTGTTAGGATCCAGTTAAGTTTTCTTCATGAAAAATTCAAGGTCAGAAGATTCTTTAATTTTAAGCAAAGATCTTCGTATATATGTCCAAGAATTATTAGTAATATAGTATATAAGGACTCCTGATATTAATGGCATGAAAAAATAAATGCAGATTTAATAGATAAGTATGATTAATAGAAGTTTACTAGTATTTGTTAGGGAATAAATCTACCTAAGCAATTATCACTTAAATTTGTGTTACATAACATCTCTTCCTCTCAAGTTATTTATTTTGTTAAGTTTGAGGTTTTGGTCTTCTTTTTCAGAGGAGAGAAGCAAGTCAAAGGTGGAAGGCAATTGCAGCAAGCTGTGCATTGCACATTGCACATAGCACATTAAGTTAAATTATTATTAAAAAAACTGAGGACTACACCATACAAACGTGGAAGGAAATACATGGTAATGCCTCTGTATAAATTAGAAGCTGAGATTTAATAAATACACTCAAACACCTGGAGCTGAATCCAGTACAAATGAGTAGCAAAACTAAGAGTATTTATTTAATCTCCTTATGAGATTAAATCTATTTTATCTAGGGGTTGGAATGGTAATAAAGCTGCATAAAGTCAGGTCCTATCTTGGGGGTTTTGAAATAAAAGCCAGACTTTTCAGAACATTATTCTTAAGTACCCACTTTTGAGGTGCTAAATAGTTTGAAAAGATCTGGGGGGGAACTTTCTAATAAAAAAAAAAAAAAAACTTATTTGCATAATACATATCTCAATATAAAGCTGAGTAATTTTATTTATGGTAAAGTGGGAAATCCATCTTTTGGATAGTATTGCAGAATAGCTCATGTTTGTCCATTAGATGTTGACCTAATGCCTTTTTTATATCACATTTTCAAAGAGCTGCATGGATCGCATTATATTCTCATCCTGTAACACACAAAAAAAAAAAACAACACGTAAAACAAACACAAGTCATACACCATTACAAATGTAGTTGGCAAATATCTATAGTGAAATTGGGTGGAACTAACTGTACATGTGTCTATTTTTCATCTTGGAGAAAGTGTTAACAGAAAATGGCTATTAATGGATCTACCCCTAATTTGTGTCCATTAATTAAACCAAAACTAGTCTGTCAAGAATGCATAAACATGTTAAGAAAACATGGTCTGCAGTATTTTGGAGGTTATAAGTTTATGTCTAATATAAGTATAAATAGACAATAAATACTCAAGGAATAATTTCTATATCTGTAGTGTGAATCAGGAATTACTACATAACATATAGTACATGAAATTACTAGTACATGCATTGCATACCATACACAGAAGCTTTTTTTTTTTCCCCAATTCTCACCCATCCTATTGTATAGCTATGGATTACTAAAATAAAATAGATTTAAATGTGGATCTTTGATTGGAAGAATCAGTCAATTCCCCAGAGAACCACCAAACACTTTTACTCCTCTTTTTTGTGTGTTCACACTGAAAGATGCAGACAGCTTCCTAATTCTACTTTCTGCTTTGCATTAGATAGAATTTGAAGGTTTTGTTGCCTAAGTAATGCCCAGTGTTTACTGATGCATCACTCTGCACTTCAGTTTCTATTAGTAAATAACTCTCAGCACAGCAGTGAGAAGAAATTGTTTATATACCTTATACCTTTCATTGTATAGAAGAAAGAGTTTATTTCTAATAGCCTGTATTTGGTGGTGGCACTTCTGCATCACCAGTACAGTTGCAAGAATAGGTTACATATTCATTGAGCAATTGTTGATGCCACTAATGATTTTTATTTTTTAACCTGAATTAATACCAATTAGCACTTTCTCAAGAGATAAACTAACCACCTTTAATTCAAATGAGTAAATAAGACTGACTATTTTAGAACATTTCATAAAAGAAGTGCAGACAAAAACACCTCTTGGATTGTCAGTGTTTTCCACAACTGATAGGTCTGTAGGTACATTAATATTCCAATATTAACACATGATTAAGCATGAAATCACAGTTAAATTATTCTCTGTTCAGTCTAGGGTTGATTTGTTTCATAAAAATGACAACTGGGTAATTTTCTCATTTTGTTATGACACATGCACAGTAGGGTTTTCGTCTTTGATTCTATATGGCATCTCAAGTGGTGGTGCTGTAAGAAGTGATCCACACACTATTTTTCACTAGCAAACTAATTTATCAAAGCAATGATACCTAACTGAAAATTTTAATGCTATGTAGATTAATGCTTTTAAAGTTTGCATATGAAATTTACTAAATTCATTTTAATTTACAGTAATTTAAGTTCTTTTCTCTGCATTATTTTGTAATATCAATATACACCTTTGAAGTTCATTGCTGTAAGGTTAAAATGTTTGCTTTGACTAGAATCATTTGTTGTTTAATCATTTACAAATGTTTTGTGTATACATCAGCAACGAAGTTTAGCTAAGCAAATATGTTCTTCATTTAGAAAGTGTTTTGACATTTCCTAATACACGTATCATTACTAATGAAACTAGCTGTTTTCTAAAATCAGCTCCATATTTCTGAAGTTTGCTGCTTCAATACAGAAACCTTCTAAATGCCCCTCCTTTATTCAGTCAGATGGGAAGGGTCATCAGAAGACATTATAGATTTGTCATGATATTTGGAACATGGTGGCTTTCAGTATGTTTTTTCCATCTTCAGAAAAATGCAGATGCTTGATTTACACTTAGCAAAGAGTTCTAAAATACTTTAATCTTTCTTATTTGCCTCGTTTTTCTCCCAGTACATTTTTCTAAACAGTGTTTCATAATAGCTTTGTTTAGATTCCTGACTCAAGGCGTTAAGGGTGGTGATTGCATAGTCCATATAAACTACAAAATATAGATGACTGGGCTTTGCCAGGCCTGACTTAACTGCAAGCTCACTTCGAGGTTTTTCTTCCTGAACTCTGATACAGCTCCTTTGCTCTCTTCTGACTAGCCCAGACCTATCAAGACTCCTTACAGAATGGATTACTCTTGCTGAAAATATCTGTCCCAGAAGCCCTTTTTTCTTTATCAGAAGGTTATTCACTTATGCACCATGCATGCCTTACTTCTTCACCTTTGTTCTTCATGGTGTTGCTGTAGATAGGAAACAGTAATACCTGAGTCAGGCCACTTCCTACCAGCATCAAGCAGTGAGAGGACAGAAGTGAACAAATTAGTTATGATGATAACGAAATACTTCTGCAGTCCTCTCTTTGTCATGGTCAGAGATAGGTCCTTATACCCAGTGAGGAGAGAAGACCATTCATCAATGGGCATTCCCATTCCAGGGTTTGAGGTAGAGTCATTTGTTATGCAAACTGGCAGGGAAGGTTTTGAGTAGACTTGTTCAGATGTCAGCCTTAAAGCCAAAGGAGGATTCACGGATGAGAAAACCAACAGATGTAAAAGTCTAGGGGAACTGGAAGTATGCTGTGCCCCATCCTGAGTTTACAGATTCAGTAGCAAAAGATTCGGGTAAGCAAAAGTTTATAGCAGAAATAGCAATGGTCTAGACAGTGATCAGGTTAAAGGTTTGGACTTTTTCCCTAGGTGGAAAAATTGAATTAGATGAGTATTTTGTATCTTGGGAAAGAGATGCTGAACAAAAAGCAATACTGATAACGCCGTTATTTCCATAGAACACACAGAAAGGCTATAAAAATGTTTCATCATGTCTAAAACACAGACAAGTTTACTATAGGACAGATCACAGAATTAACAATGCCTAGAGCAAGCTTAGATAAGTACTCATGAACAAGGAGAATTCTTAGTCCCGGAGTGATGCAAATCACTGCATGCTGAGAAAATAAAAGAAGTTGAACGTTATCTTTCTAGATCAGTCTTGTACCTACTAAGATATTAGCAAAAGGTTTTCCTACAGCTGTGTTTTAAAAGGAAGAGGCCACTACTGTCCTTTGGAAGAAACATAATCTGGAAAATGCTGAAACCGCATTAATAGAGCACATTTTCTGAACAAAGTTTCTTGAAAGGTTCAGGTTGAATCCAAAATGCAGATCTCGTTTCTGAAACAAAATCCTGATGTAAATATGAATTAAACACTGCAGCTCAGAGCTCTTAATAAGAGAACAGGTCTTCATAGGCAGAGAGACAAAAATTCAGACAGCAAGGAACTTTTTGTATGCTACCTTTGAAATTAAAATAAAGTGCAGAAAAGTGTCAAGATGATTTGTCCATTAAGAAGAGTGAATGGTGTCTCTATCATGTAATGATTTAGAGGATCTCTGTCATGTAGATTCTGAATAATCAGAAGAGATAAATACGAAATCTTCCA